GTGGCCCTTGTCTGTCTTTTTTTATAGACCTAATTTCATATGATATATTGACAAGACATCTAGTTCCATTAGTGAAATTTTATTTGATATAAAAAACGCCAAACTACAATGTGTTGTTTTGTTTAAACATACTTATTATTTATTTAAGCTCGATTGCTAAACAAGTTCTTGCAACTTATATTAATCACTTTGAAGTTTCGAGTCCGCTTCCTGGAACCAACCAGTACTGGTATCATGAAGAAACATGGTCTTGACCCGAGTAGGGTTCGAACCCATGATCTCTGGGTTGAGAGGCAGACACCTTAACCACTAGGCCACTGCTCCCCTAATTTGTGTGAATGTGTGGGAGTATAATATACAGTCAAACGTGTATTAAGCGACCGGCCAAGGGAAACACCAAAAACGGTCGCTTAATGAAACGGTCTCTTAAGAAAGTCAACATGATATAAAAGTCAAAATTTATAACTGACATCTTTTTTATTCGATGGGATTGTTTTTCAACTTAATTTTTATATAAATGTTGAATAATAAATACGCTCCGATAATCTAAACGGTTGCAAATGTAAAAATAACGTTCTGATATTTATTGACAAAATCAGTTTTGATCCATTACGTACATGTTTGACATTTTTTCCAGAATTTTTTAACTTCTCCGTTGTTTTTCCTTGTCTCCAACACGAAAAACCTATTAGTGAAGATGTTTTCTGTTGTGCATTTTTTCATTTGAAATAAACAAACTACATCTATTTGTTACGATTAATTTAATGGCTGATCAAGTTCAAGGTCAATTCAATGCAGTCTAAATGTCAACAAGCGAAGCGTATACATCATCTCAGTATGGGCGGAGCGTTGCATTGTTTATCCGATATTATTGGATAATACACGTCACGTGTATACTTAACTTCATTTGCATACGCTAAAACGGTATGGGAAATAGAGTTTTTCACACGTTTATTGTTGTGTTTTGATTGCTGACACTTGTGACATAACGAGGTGGCGTTCTCTAAAAACACAATTACTTGACAGGTAAAAGTGGTCGTTTAATGAAAAGATTGATGTCAATTAGGTGACTAATTAGCAGTCGCTGGTCGGGTTGAGCAAAAGTCGCTTAATACATTAACGATATAGAGAGAAAATGATCGGGGGGAATTTAAAGTGGTCGTTTAAGACAAAAGTCGCTTAATACACGTGGTCGCATGGGCAAGTTAGACTGTAAAATAAGCTTTAACATATTGACATTGAAATCCCTTTTGGTTCCTAATTGGCATTCAGGAGTATCTTAGCAAGTATACTTTATGATACAAAATTTGAAATACTTTTTATTTTAGATTTTAAATTTCCTAAGAATAAATTAAATTGAAAACATGCATAAATTTTCTTTACATTATTATACAACATTCAAAACATTAAAGTACATAACTTTTGAAACACCCCTCTTTACCTGGAATACTTCCCTTGCTGTAATTACCTCATTAAGTGGCATGATCATAAAATGCTGTTTGTTATTGTTTAGAAATTTAATTGCTCTGGCATTAAGCATATTTATTTGGCATATCAAATAATGTGCACACTGCACTTATAATTTCTAGATTGTAGTACTAGCCAACCATTTAAGCATTCATTTATTTTCTTCAAATATTTACTTATAAAATATGTTGGGTTTTTTTTAACAGTTTATATAACAACATGATAAATAAAGATCATTAGAAAAGACATTTCATGCAAATAGAATACTTTATAATGCCTATTTCTGTATTTATATCAAAAGTTGCTGAAGAAAGACCCGTACACACCACATGTAAAAAATGCATTATAAACTCTAAAAGAGAAAGTTGTCCTATATAATAAAACCAATTCAGTCCTAGCATGGAAGCATTTTCTTTATTTTGATTTTTAAGCATAAAGTTTTTGGTTGAAATCTTTGTTATGAGCTAATATGAATATACATATAAAACAAAACTCATATTGTGAGAAAGATAAACATGGTTTTACGAGTGTAATAAGATATAAACACATCAGCAGTAAGCATGTGGGCAACTGTGCTGCACAACCAAGTACATTAATGATCTCCACTGAGGTCCTAAAGCCTTAAAAAGCTGGGATACTTAAAATGGAGAGATATGCAAAAAAAAAAAAAAAACAATTAAGGACTTTATAAAATTATACTCAGAAATAAATTGAAAATCCTAATTTTGTGAAATTTCTAGCCGATTTGAGTGAAAAGCATATTGCATTGTTTTTCTATTTTAGGTCATTTTTCACAATTCAAGTAACTATTTTGGAAGAACGGAATGAGCAAATGATCTGAAAATTTGCACAAAAGTTACTGGTCTAGACATACATCAACTTCAAAATAAATCCTAGAAAAAAATGTTTCGGAGCAGTCATGGTAAAAAACCTCAGTGGAGTCCCTTTAATAATCAATCTTGCCTGGCAATACTGTGCATTCAATCGATACACCTTTCAATTTGTACAGTATATAATATATAATTAACATGTAAATGAAACATTAATTTTATAAATATACAGTGTAATAAAGTTAGAACTAAATATTTTTTATGCTCCCCGAAAAATTTCGGGGGAGCATATAGTCGTCAGGTTGTCCGTCAGTCCGTCCGTACGTCCCAATTCGTGTCAGGCCCATAACTTTCACAGAAATGATCACCATATTGAGACGACGTGTCGCGCGCAACATTTGGGTCGCTACCTTGAAGGTCAAGGTCACAGCATGACCTTGCATCAAAATCGTGTCCGGTCCATAACTTCTTTATTTGAAGTAGGATTTTAAAACTATTTCACAGAAATGATCACCATATTGAGACGACGTGTCGCGCGCAACATTTGGGTCGCTACCTTGAAGGTCAAGGTCACAGCATGACCTTGCATCAAAATCATGTCCGGTCCATAACTTCTTTATTTGAAGTCGGATTTTAAAACTATTTCACAGAAATGATCACCATATTGAGATGACGTGTCGTGCGCAACATTTGGGTCGCTACCTTAAAGGTCAAGGTCACAGCATGACCTTGCAGCAAAATCCTGTCCAGCCCATAACTTTATAATTTGAAGTCAGATTTTAAAACTATTTCACAGAAATGATCACCATATTAAGACTTTGTGTCGCACGCAACATTTGGGTCGCTACTTTGAAGGTCAAGGTCACAGCATGACCTTGCAGCAAAATCATGTCCAGCCCATAACTTCGTTATTTGAAGTCGGATTTTAAAACTATTTCACAGAAATGATCACCATATTAAGACAACGTGTCGCGCCCAACATTTGGGTCGCTTCTTCGAAGGTCAAGGTCACAGCATGACCTTGCAGCAAAATCTTGTCTGGCCCATAACTTTGTTATTTGAAGTCAGATTTTAAAAATATTTTACAGAAATGATCACAATATTGAGATGATGTGTCGCGTGCAACATTTTGGATGCTATCTTGAAGGTCAAGGTCACAGCATGACCTTGCAGCAAAATCGCGTTCGGCCAGTAACTTTGTTCCTTGAAGTCGGATTTAACAACTATTTCACAGGGATGATCACCATATTGAATGGACGTGTCACATGCAACATTTGGGGTGCTACCTTGAAGGTCAAGGTCACAGCATGACCTTGCAGCAAAATAGTGTCTAGCCAATAACTTCCTTATTTGAAGTCTGATTTTACAACTAATTCACAGAAATGATCACCATATTGAGACAATGTGTCATGCACAACATTTGGGTTGTTTTTACACTTTGAACTTTGTCTGTGACATAACTCTGACACTACAAGAGGTATACCTTCCTGTGTCCAAAACCTATTCGGGGAGCATCACCCGGTTCAACCGGCTCTTGTTCTTGTTTGTATTTACTTTTAGAATATTTCAGTCATCAACTGTGAATGGCCAGTAAGCTTATCTATAAAAGATTAGTGTTTCAGGAGTCTAAAAACTGTTGGTGTTGTTGTTTTTCCCACAAAGAATGCCAGCCTTTATTCTTTTGAATTTCTTAAATGGATGTGTCTAAGCTTGCATTGCTGTGAATGTTGTAGTGGCTGTGTACCAGCACTGGTGGCCAAAACTTTGCACTTTTGGTTACAGTATTCTTAATGTTATGCATATTGAAACTAGTCAATGATGAGAAATGCTTTATTTTAACAGACTGTTATTTAAAAAGGATATCATCTTTTAAATTCTTCTCTTCCTTAACATGTATATATATGGTGTTTATTTACATTTTCTAGCCTTGGTCTTCACAGGTGACAGGAAGATGGTTAATTGCTGTAGACTGTACCTCCATTAGTCTTGTGATGTGACACTTTAATAATATAAATTATAGATACCAGTCTGTCTGTCCATGCTATTTTTAGACCACTTGCAAAGTGAAGTCATAAATTCCATCATACATCTTATATGAAACATGAAAAAAATATATAAGCATTGTTTTAATGAAACCTCAATATTTGCTGACCAGGAAGTCTAATGTCTGTGCAATATCTGTTCACATGCTATACAAATGCTCAATTTTTGTATTTTAATATTGAAACCCTTTAACTTTAAAATAGACTGGTCCAAATTCAGAACAGAGCAAGTTTTTTTGCAAAAGTTCAGCTGGTTTAACTTTAGAACCAGTCTAAATAATATTATACTGAATCTAGACTGTCCAACAAAGTAAAAATTGATACCCTGATATTAGTATAACAGATAATCTGCTGAAATGCTTATAGGGTCTTAACTAGCTTCCAGTTTTGGAGCTATACATTATCAGTTAAGGGATAACAACATGAAATTTTAAGTTATTGTCAGCCAACAGTATAGAGCTTGGTAAGTTTGCACAGATGTGCAGGCCGGCCTGACTCTTATAATTCTCAGGTGGCAAAAGATAACCACTTTTGGTTCCAGCATGTTAAGGGTTATAAATAACAAAAAATTTTAGACCTGAAACTGATAAATGTTCATAAAGGTATCATTATGAAATATTGATATTGAAATTGAGCATAGTTATATTTGTTTTATTTTCAGAGATACTATGGGGAGTCTCTACCATTTGGGAATGCCACATTTGAGCCAGCAAACATGGGTTTGTTATCAGTGAACCAGGCGTTAGCTGACTATGCTTTGTTGATCAAGTTCTTGAAACAATCACTCAATGCTACCGATTGTCCAGTCATAACCTTTGGTGGAAGGTAATTTCTAAATTTGTTTTTAGCTCACGAGCACATAAGCACATAAAATTGATGATGTGGTCAGGTGAGATATTGTAGTTACAGGTGAGATATAGAAGTCACATGTACAGATGATATTGTAGTCAGGCAAAATAGTGTAGTCACAGGGGAGATATTGTAGTCACAGGGGAGATATTGCAGTCACAGGGGAGATATTGTAGTCACATGTAAATATTGTAGTTACAGGCAAGATATTGTAGTCACAGGTGAATTATGGTAGTCAGGCAAAATAGTGTAGTCACAGGGGAGATATTGGAGTCACAGGGGACATATTGCAGTCACAGGTGATATATTGTAGTCACAAGTGATATATTGTAGTCACAAGGGAAATATTGTAGTCACAGGTGAGATATTGTTGTCACAGGTGAGATATTGTAGTTACAAGTGAGGTATTATAGTCACAGGGGAGATAATGTAGTCACAAGTGAAATATTGTAGTCACAGGGGAGAAATTGTAGTCACAGCCAAGATATTGTAGTCACTGGGAAGATATTGTAGTCACAGGTGGGATACTGTAGTCACAGGAGAAATATTGTAGTCAAAGGTAAGATATTATAGTCACAGGTGAGATATTGTAGTCAAAGGCAAGATATTATAGTCACAGGTGATATATTGTAGTCAAAGGTAAGATATTATAGTCACAGGTGAGATATTGTAGTCAAAGGAAAGATATTGTAGTCACAGGAGAAATATTGTAGTCAAAGGTAAGATATTATAGTCACAGGTGAGATATTGTAGTCAAAGGCAAGATATTGTAGTCACAGGAGAAATATTGTAGTCAAAGGTAAGATATTATAGTCACAGGTGAGATATTGTAGTCAAAGGCAAGATATTGTAGTCACAGGTGATATATTGTAGTCAAATGCAAGATATTGTAGTCACAGGCAAAATATTGTAGTCACAGGTGAGATATTGTAGTCACAGGTAGGGAATTGTAGTCACAGGGGAGATATTGTAGTCAGTTTTTGTCTGTTCTGCCTTGTCTGTGACTGTAATAAAAGAAAAAAAGCTAAAATTGGTTTGTTTGAGTAATATAAGACAGTGTAAGCTTATCATAGAGAGTGTTATATTAAGTTAAACATTGACATTAAATATAAAACTGCCCTTAGTTTATACAGAATTTGTTTAATTTGATTATGAAGGAATCAATATCCTTATATAAAAAATCCAGAAACTGTTTCAGAACCAATCAGCACTAAAGCAATGAGTGAAACAATTTTGCTCTGGAAAACAACGGATAACCCTGATAGGGCTTGAAAACATGTGGCTAGCAATTGTAAGGCTTCTAGTCTGATGCATTTAAGTTCTTGGCAATTCCACCTGTTGTCCTTGTTCTTATATGTTCAGTTTACAAACCATTTCTGTTGTAACTTAGGAAATTACATATATTTTTGCAAATTTATGGAGTAAGTGTAACATAGAGTGAAAGATTTGACTGTTAAACCTACTGACTCTTTTTTTACAGCTATGGAGGAATGTTGAGCGCGTACATGAGGTTCAAATATCCTAACATGGTGATAGGAAGTATAGCAGCTAGTGCCCCTATCAATCTGCTCACCCAATCACTTGACAGAAGTTTCTTCTTTACTGCTGTAACCAAGGATTTCTCCATGGCAACACCGTTCTGTGAAAGCAAAGTGAAGCAGGCTTTTATAATCCTGATGCAAACTGCAGCACAAGGAGCTTCAGGTATCTTTGTTTATAGGGTTTTTTATGTTCCCCTTTGGAAGTTGTAGCTTGGTGTGAATTTTATTGCATGCTGACTTGTAGAGGGTTGTAGGCAAGTAACAAGTAACCCCAAGAATTATTTTAATGATTTGTTGAAACCTTTTATTTGTTTGTTTGCTTTAAGAAAAAGTGGTGGCTCTTGTTTATCAATATATCTAGCTGTTTGTAGCTATAAAAGTTTGCTTTTACCCATGGTTTAGATGGGAAATGCCTCATTTGCTGTGTTCTATCTATTTCACAGTGGTTGGATGATAATATTGAATATAGGTAATAAGAATTTACTTCGAGTGTTTTGTAGTTTGCAACAGTTTGAAACTGACAAAATCAATGACAAAACACTTTTTTTTGCATTATTTTACATTTCTGCTTCAGGATTGAAGAAATTGTCAGACCTGTTTAAGCTGTGTAAACCTCTGAGTAACAATGATGATTACTTTCATCTCCTTGGCTGGATCAGAAACTCCTTCACAAATCTTGCCATGTTTGACTACCCATATCCCACTGACTTCTTTAGTAAGTTACCAGGATATCCTGTAAAGGTAAGATAAACATTTGCCATGTTTGACTACCCATATCCCACTGACTTCTTTAGTAAGTTACCAGGATATCCTGTAAAGGTAAGATCATAAAACAAAGTTTGACAACCCATATACCACTGACTTCTTCTCACTATAATTTCTATAGTACATGACCAGGATATCATGTGATTGTAAGGTAAGGTATCGTTGCCAAGTTTGACATGTTTGCACTAGCCATTTCCCACTTATTTCTATAGTACAGTTCCTTATATCCTGTAAAGGTAAGATAAACTATTCTTGCCTAGTTTGATTACGGATTTCTTAAATATGGAAATGAATTGACATATTTTTGATACATCATAATCTACAAGGTGAGTTCAATTTGGTGTCAAACTACAAATATTTCATAGTTACATTGTAAAAGTGGCAGTAGAGGATATGAACCTACACCTTTGTGATGACTTAAATTAGCTTGTCTGTTTCAAGGAAAAAGTCAAGCCATTATGATCATTACCATGTGGTCATCGAGTCTGGTCAAACATATAGTGGCAAAGCCTTATTACTTTCAGGTTCAGCAGGTAAAGTGTACAGCTATACATCAATCATAATTTCATTCAGCATATGGTTTTACAAGAGCTTTATCTTGACCTTGATGTTCAAGTTAAAATTTGTCAGAATTTTACAGTTTAGGAAATTACACCATTGACAATTGTCAGATTTTGTTCACCATTTACAGGAAGCATGCCAGTATATGGAGGATAGTATAGACCCAGCTGAAGGTCTAGCTAAGGCAGCTGGACTGTTCTACAACGGTACAGATGGCACCTTGAAGTGTTTTGATATTTTCAAACAGTTTGTTGAATGTGCTGACCAAACTGGGTGTGGCGTTGGTCCTGACAGTAAAGCCTGGGATTATCAGGTAGATAAGTCAAAATTTTGCAGCGATTATTGTTTTGGTTTTGAAGTGGAATGTCCTCCAGGAATATACTGTAAAGTCAAAAATTTTTGTGAGGGATAAAATTTAGCCTATATTGCAAATTGATGATTTCGGTGAAAATGAATATTTCCTAAGCTTTTAAGTATTAAATAAAGTTAAGAGTAGAAGTTAAGGAATACATAACATAGCAATTTAGTCTGAAATATTTATTTGGTGAAATTTTGACTTTAAGAACATAATATATTTTACAGTATTGCCTCTAATGTAAATCTGTTCTAAAAATTAGATGATATAGTTAAAAATGAAGGTCTTGAGTTTACCTGTCTCAGCACAAAGGTGACCTATTGAGATGGGCAGAGTTTGGTTATCTCTTGTTTCAAAACTGGTTTGTTTAGGCCTGTTAGTCAGTTTAGAATATGGCACAACCTTTTTAAAAATTCTTTTGTTTTGAAACTAATAGATGTTATAATGGCTGATGTTAATTTCATTCAGCAATCATGACTCAAAGGGTCAAAATTAGCCTTGTCCAAGAGGTCACTTATATCATATAGACTAAATTTGGAAAGAGCTTAAAAATATCTTTTATCTAGAACTTAAAAACGTAAGCTCACTTGGACTTTTTGTTAATAATTTCGAGGATACATGTTCAAATGGTTTGTCTAAGATTGCAACACTTAAAAAGTAATCATATTGGAATTTAATACAGATTTAGGCAGTTTACACATTTTACAAAGGTTTTTCATACTCAAAGCATTCTCCTCTAGATACTGAGAAGAAAAAAAAGTATAATTAACTCATTTACACCAAACATTGCAGGATAATGTTTTATATACAAAACAAATTTGTTAAATTAGAAACATTGCATTCTCTATGAATAAGAAAGTAAACTCTTAATAACGTATAAATGAGTGATTATTTCCTGGTAGATTTTTGGTAATTATGCGTAGTAAATCTTCATTTATAAATGTAATTATACATAGGAAAGGTGTTTTATATATTCTATACATTCATCTGTTATAATTTGCAGTAATTCAGAAAATATTTATTATTTATGTCTGTAGATTAAATGCCGCACATTTTGCTTATTTCATTCAATAATTCAATGGTTAAAACAGAGATTTTTCTTAATGACAAAAAATCTAATGTGCTGAGATCAGGAATTTTAGAAATTACTCTTTCTATGAATAATGAATTTTGATATTTAAAGTGGCTCCCCTCCAAAAAAGCAAACAATTTTCAAAACATGATACTGAAGTAAAAAAAATGTTTTTAATAGAACAGTTTATTTAATTTTACCCATGAAATATGGTGCTATATCAGTCAAATATATTTCATATTTTTTAAAAATAAATATGAAATATAAATATGAAAGTGGACGGAGTCAAAACTCATGTTTATTTTAAGGGACTTCTTTCGCCTATTCTTTCCTTTGTACCATTGTACCAATCAACCTTTCTTTTGTGTTCCATTGTACCAATGAGTCTTGCTTTGTGCCAATCCAAAGTACCTTTGGGATTGAACCCACAGCTGCCAGAGAGTGGCACCTTAGGTGTTTGATTCATCAAAGTCACTACACAATCATGATCTGTACAATGACTAGCAGACTATCCAACCAAAGAAGAGATACCAAATCACTGTTGATGCCAGAGCTTTCAACCACTTAGTTTTGCTGTTTCATGTTCGACTATTGTTTTGTTAATTTTTCAAGAAAAATTCTGTTCATGGCAATTTATTTTGTTTCAAAAGGTTATTGAGTTAACAGTCTTGTTTGTTATTTTATATTAAATTTTGTATTTGTAGAAAGCAGACAAATTTATTTTCAAACTCAGACAAATTTGAAGTTTTCAATCCCATTAAATCTAAAATGATATCAAAAGACTGGAAACCAAAGTCTTTTTTATTTGTTTTCCTATAATAATTCCAGACAAGAAAGTTTTCTATTACAGAAAATATTTAATGAAAAAAGTTGATAGAAGGTCTGAAAGTAGAAAATGATTTGACAAGTGTATGTATATTGTGGAATCATTTGTGTTACAGAAACAGATTTTCTTTGTTCTCTTCTTTGAAATGTTGTCTGTACATAGCACTACTTTGAAATTGGATTTTAACCTGTGTATAGCCTTTCTTTGAAATACTGTCTTTGTGTAGCCCCACTTTGAAATTAGATTTTGACCTGTGTAACTATAGATTAGCCCTACCTTAAAACTTTACAAGTGTGTGATCTATGTGTGACTTTGATTTTATGGTGTGGCCCTGATTTGAATATTTATCTTGGTGTGGACCTGATTTGAATATTGATCTTAATGTGGACCTGATTTGAATATTGATCTTAATCTTGGTGTGGACCTGATTTGAATATTGATCTCGGTGTGGCCTTGATTTGAATATTGATCTTGGTGTGGCCTTGATTTGAATATTGATCTTGGTGTGGCCTTGATTTGAATATTTATCTTGGTGTGGCCTTGATTTGAATATTGATCTTGGTGTGGCCCTGTTTTGAATATTGATCTTAGTGTGGCCTTGTTTTGTATATTTATCTTGGTGTGGCCCTGATTTGAATATTGATCTTGGTGTGGCCCTGTTTTGAACATTAATCTTAGTGTGGCCTTGATTTGTATATTTATCTTGGTGTGGCCCTGATTTGTATATTGATCTTGGTGTGGCCCTGTTTTGTATATTGATCTTGGTGTGGCCCTGTTTTGAATATTGATCTCGGTGTGGCCCTGATTTGTATATTGATCTTGGTGTGGCCCTGTTTTGTATATTGATCTTGGTGTGGCCCTGTTTTGTATATTGATCTTGGTGTGGCCCTGTTTTGTATATTGATCTTGGTGTGGCCCTGTTTTGAATATTGATCTTTGTTTGGCCTTGTTTTTAATAGTGTTCTCAGTGTGGCCCTTTTTTGAATATAAATCTTGGTGTGGATTGATCTTGGTGTGGCCCTGATGTGAATATTGATCTTGGTCAATGGCCTTGCTTTGAATATTGATCTTGGTGTGGCCCTGTCTTTGTTTGGCTGTGTTTTGAATATTGATGTTAGTGTGGCCCTTATCTGTATATTGATCTTGGTGTGGCCCAGGGTTTGAAAGTTGATATATATGTGGCCATGTTTGGAATATTTATCCATGTGTGGCTGTTTTTTTTTAAACATCAGCATGTTAGGTAAGTAATCCTGGGCCATGGTAGCCCTATTGTTGTTTGAGGGCTGCACAGAGTTTGGCTAAATAAAATTTTCTCATGGTTTTTTATTTCAGGCATGCACAGAGATAACATTGGTTGGTGGAAGTAATAATGTTACAGACATGTTTCCAGCAATGCCATGGACACCAGATATGAGAAATGATTACTGCTATAAGAAGTGGAAAGTTATTCCTAGAAACACATGGAGTGAAGTAGAATTCTGGGGAAAAGGTGAGAAAACATTCAGAGCTCATTCAGATTTGTAGATTTTATATATGTAATTTATATAAAAGTGATAAAAAAAAGTCATTGCCTGTCATTTGCCCTTTTAAAATAATTAGCTTTTCAGTCATGAAAGAAAAATATTGTCATAAATTTGGAAACATGAATGACAATATTACAGGTAATGATTTATAGATGAAGGTCTGTAGGAGTTGTATTAATATTAAAAGGCTAAGCAGAAGCTTTGAACCGCTTTTGATACTAAATTATTGTTTTTACAGCCCTGTTTTTTTAAACTGCTATTAAATTGTTAACTTGAAAATATGAAGGTATCAAACATCTGTTATTCCTAGGTGCCTATGGTAACTGATAGCTTTTGAGCTTAAAATTGATATATTTGGAGAAGTTGGCATTTATTTGTGGAGATATAGGAAATACTTTAAATGTTCTGTAGTACTTGTTGGGTAATCATCCTTATATAATTATATGATCAAATTATGTTGTCAAACTGGCACTTATCAAAGTCATGTGAAGTAGTGTCTTTTTTAGCTCACCTGAACACAATGTAAATAAATAGTGTGTTGAATAAGATGGGCCGAAGTGCTTTAAGCACAGGGGGCCCACACAGTGTTTGGATGGTATATACTGCTTGACAGTGACCTTAAAATGAGATTTTAGTCATAACCTTATAATATGTATATAAATATATGTCTATTTATATACATATTATAAGGTTATGACTAAAATCTCATTTTAAGGTCACTGTCAAGCAGTATATACCATCCAAACACTGTGTGGGCCCCCTGTGGCTTTAAGTCTAGGTAGATTTTTATTTCTCAATTTTGTCTATTCAGTTGAGCAAGAGCTTTGTTTACGTACTATATATGTTTTCACAGACAGCTCTTAACTTATACGAGCTCAAATAATACAAATAAAACACAATTATTTCTATGACCTATAAGTTTCCATTCTCACATAAAAACTAGAAGGCTCAGATGAAATCTCTAGGTTTTATATTAAAATATTCTCCCAATACCAATATAGAATATTTCCTGAGAGATGGAAATTTAATCATCTGAGGAGGGAAATTTGTCTTGAGAAATAAAAAGTCTGGTTTTCTGAGTCTTGACAATATTAAAGCAAGAAAAGGAATCATCATGTACAAAGGTTAACTCAGTATCATGATGTTGTTTTTTATATTAATATAATTGGAAAATATTTATGAAATTTATGACAGCTATTTTATGGTTTGAATTCAGCTTCTGGGAGCTTTAATCAGAATATTTATATACCTTTGGGAAATTTGAAAATATTGCCTTTAGTGAAAGAAAAAAAATTGTGATAGATAACATGTGATGAAAATGTGCTTTGATAAACAACCCTTTATTATTTCATTTCAGTTTTTATAGCTATTCTCTCACCAATTACATGAAATTGTTTTGTTTTTTTCATAATTTTGGAGTTATTGTCCTCTGTAATTGTTGTGCCCTCATGCCTTATAATTGTTTTGTTGTCACTTAAAAAGTGGTTATCACCACTTTCGGTTAGAGTCTCGCGAGGAACTTCCAATTCTTTCATGTACTTTTTTTGCTTTGTTTAATACATAATTTAATGTTCATTTGTAGGAATTGTAGTCTGTGCCCTTTTTCTGTATTCTATTCTATTCTAGTGTTTGTTTGAGATGTGCTTTACTTTAAATTATCATGCTTTGATCTTTTAGATATTGGAGCAGCTACAAATATTGTGTTTTCAAATGGTGACCTTGACCCTTGGAGAGGAGGAGGGGTGAGTTCATCAAACATTTCTTCGAAATATATCATATGAACCTAGGCTAGCTGTCTCTTAGTCTGTGGATGTGATTCCACCATTGAGGTGACTAAATATTGTCAGAGGAATAAAAATATCTTTTCAGATAAAAAAACCCTATGTGCCTACATGCGCCATAGAGGTATTTTATCCATATTGTTGTCATATGGCAATCACTACACTGTCATTGTGACATTGTGAATCTGTAATAAAAATGTAATGCACTTTAAGCATGATAAAAATGTAATGTGCAGGGACTGTGTCTGTGGTGTCAGTGAGTTTAAATGCATAAATGATAAATGTTAGGTAAACAATGGCTCTGTAATTGTTAGTTTATCTGTCAATGTAATCTGCAGTAATTTTCAATCATTTAATGAATAGAACCTCTTTGATCTTTTGATGAAATGTTTTTATCATACCTGATGAAAGATGTTTTATAATCTTATGAAGCTGTTTGGACATTCTTTATTATTACAGCTTTTGTATGTTCTGTAATTATTGATATCTCATTTCATATTTATTTTTCATCCGTATAATGTATTGTTCTATTATGTGCCTTTATATTATTTATATTATTGATCTCGTAACAAAATTTTGTTCCAGTAATGGTCTTCTAAATGCTTGTATTGACAATTTTATCCATTTTATATTCATTTTTGATCATTTTCTTCCATATAGTTTGTTCTAATACTTGTATGGACTATTTTATCTTATATTCATTTTTGATCATTTTTGTCCAGTATTATTCTAATGCTTGTGTTGACTATTTTATCTTATATTCATTTTTGATCATTTTTGTCCAGTATTATTCTAATGCTTGTGTTGACTATTTTATCTTATATTCATTTTTGATCATTTTTGTCCAGTATTATTCTAATGCTTGTGTTGACTATTTTATCTTATATTCATTGTTGATCATTTTTGTCCAGTATTATTCTAATGCTTGTATTGACTATTTTATCTTATATTCATTTTTTATCATTTTGTTACAGTATTGTCTTTATGCTTGTGTTGACTATTTTATCTTATATTCATTTTTGATCATTTTGTTACAGTATTGTCTTTATGCTTGTGTTGACTATTCTATCTTATATTCATTTTTGATCATTTTTGTCCAGTATTATTCTAATGCTTGTATTGACTATTTTATCTTATATTCATTTTTGATCATTTTGTTACAGTATTGTCTTTATGCTTGTATTGACTATTTTATCTTATATTCATTTTTGATCATTTTTGTCCAGTATTATTCTAATGCTTGTATTGACTATTTTATCTTATATTCATTTTTGATCATTTGTTCCAGTATTGTCTTTATGCTTGTATTGACTATTTTATCTTATATTCATTTTTGATCATTTTTTATCCAGTATTATTCTGACATATGTATTTATATGATTTAGGTATTGAAGAGTCCTAGTGCTGGAATTCAAGCTGTGACTGTGACAGGTGGCGCCCATCATTTAGATCTAAGGTGAACTATTTTTTTTATACATGTTATAAAAAAATCACTCAGAAGCATGACTGTGGTATTGCTGCATTATACCTCAAAATGCTTTCTTAATTGACATTAATTTTGTCTAGGCAAAAGAAAACATAAAGCTTGATCTGCACAAACATAAAACAGTCTCATCTTTATTCCATTGTTATAAAATCTTGAATTATGTTTAACCAGACTTTGTGTTTTATTTTTGTCACATCCCATGTGTCTCTGGAATTGCTATGTAAGAGAATAATAAGAGGCTTTGCAACTTATAAATTGTATAATAAATGTTGCATTGTCTGAGTTACCATGCATTATATATGGATTTTACTTTACAAAGATAATTTGTCTTGACATGATTTGAATGTCTAAGGCTTTTCAAATAATTTCAGAGGTGATATCAATCAGTAGTAGCTTGTCTGCTTTGAAAGTAAAAGTGGAGCTATTATGATCGCTCTTTTATGTAGCCTATTATTCAAATATTTTAAAAGTTATCAACATGAAACGTAGAATACTTGCTTATGATGACAAGGTGCAGTTGTTATACAAGGGGCTTCATTCTGAAAGTTATATTTTTGGAGTTATGCCCCTTTTCAACTTTAGAAAAAAATGGTTATTGATAGTGATTGCCCTTAACAGACCAGTGTTAACTTGGTATTATAATTATAATAAAGACTTAATTTAAATAGGCAACACAGTTTGGTGTGCCCAGTCTTCCCTGTGAGTCTCTATTAAATATACAATATACATATATAAACATTCACAAACAAAATGTACAATAAACAACAACAACAACAACAACAACAAAAAATACAAATAGTTAAGAAACATAAGATGAATAGTTATAGATATGCAGTGCTCTTGTTAATATACTTGGAGTATACTTACTAAAAGGTGTATTTTAGAGTTGGTATTCTGTCATTTTTTTATATTTTATTTAAACATAATAGTTGGATAGTATATTAAACAGATTATTACTGATATATTTGACAGGGCAAAGAATGTTCATGACCCTATTAGTGTGATGTCAGTGAGGGAAGTAGAAAAACAGGCTATCAGAAAGTGGATTAATTCTTAGAAAACACCAGCAAGGAAGCAAAGCGGAAATCTAGAAACACCACAAAACATGTCTACCACTTTCATTGCATTCCATAATTATCTAGAATCATTTTTGACTGGTCTCAAAACGTTAAGCGGTGGTTTTGTCAGGATTTGATAACATTATTGATGAACAGTCAATTACCAGATTTGGAGTTGTATTTTAGCCTTTAGCATATCAGAATTGAAATTTGTTATGCAACTGTGATTGTATTAAAAATTGTTTTGATTTTTTGTTTGTATTTTTTGCCAGTCATACAACTGTTGCTTTACACCTTTTTGAATAATTATATATTTTTTTAAAGAAATTATATGCAAATATACTGCATCTAGTGCTGATGGAAAATCATGTTGCAAAAAAACAAAACAATTTTTTTTTTTTTAAATTATGTATTTTGTTAAATATCTGGAAAAAAGTGATCCCTCAGAAGCATTAAAAACAGCAGAGTTACATGAAAATTGCAGACTCAGTTTGATTGAGTCTTTACATGGAGGGATAATGAAAAAGTGATAACCTGAGATTAAAAGTAAAACTTCCATGATATAAAACAAATGGTTAGTTACCGCACATTGTAATTTTTATGATTACTTATTTGATATTACAAACAACAAACGTAATTTTACATTATGTTTTTTTTTTACCTTATTTTGTTGACAATTTTTTTCCTAACTCCACATACTAAGATCCAAAAGTGCTGCAAGATTAAGTTGCTGTAGGTTCGAATCCAGTCTTTAATTCTTTTATGTGAGGAATCTATATCCACCTAGCTTAACCCTTTCCCCCATGAGCATATTGTGAAAAATGGCCGTTTTCACTGAAAAGCCTCCTGTTGCAAGTTCAAACTGCTATGAAACTATGAAAAATGCTTCAATACTAATCAAACTTGGCACAAATGTTGGCTGGACCATTGCCTTTGTAACAACATGCTCAGTCTTAAATTTCCTGTTACCTTGGCAACGAGGGGACATCTCAAAATTGCCAAAAATCACTATTTTGCCTCGATTTTTTCCATCAAAATTTATTTCAAAGTGCTGCAACTTCTCAAGGGATTGAGATAGAGTCAAAGGCTTTTCAGCGTTGGATACACGTTACATTATGATCGACCTGGGGTCATTTTTAGCCTCTCACAAGTCCAAAATTTTCTTGGCGATGAAGGGGACTCCGCCCCCCTTCAAAAACCCCAAACAGAAAGGGGGCACATCCCCCTTCTGGCAACCCCCTGATGTATCTTTTGGATGGAGGGCGGCGCCAAAAAAGTGCTCATTTTTTTTTACAACATTTTTCAAACGAAAACATGTGTTTGGGGCCCAAATAAGACTTTTTTTTACTATTTCAGGCCTTAAAAAAGGGGGGGGGGGGTCGAAAGTGCGTTGTTTCGCGTATATAATATGACGTAAAGGGTTAACAAAAAATGATGAAAAACTTTAGAATCACTTAAAAACTAGTTTTTCCATGTTAACATGTGGTCTTTCACCTAATTTTGGTGAAAAAATGTTGTTTTGTAACATTTATAATTTTTTTAGTTAACCCTTTCCCCCATGAGCATATTGTGAAAAATGGCCGTTTTCACTAAAAAGCCTCCTGTTACAAGTTCAAACTGCTATGAAACTATGAAAAATGCTTCAATACTAATCAAACTTGGCACAAATGTTGGCTGGACCATTTCCTTTGTAACAACATGCTCAGTCTTAAATTTCCTGTTACCTTGGCAACGAGGGGACATCTCAAAATTGCCAAAAATCACTATTTTGCCTCGATTTTTTCCATCAAAATTTATTTCAAAGTGCTGCAACTTCTCAAGGGATTGAGATAGAGTCAAAGGCTTTTCAGCGTTGGTTACACGTTACATTATGATCGACCTGGGGTCATTTTTAGCCTCTCACAAGTCCAAATTTTTCTTGGCGATGAGGGGGACTCCGCCCTCCTTCAAACCCCCCTAACAGAAGGGGGCACATCCCCCTTCTGGCAACCCCCTGATGTATCTTTTGGATGGGGGGCGGCGCCGAAAAAGTGCTCATTTTTTTAGCAACATTTCTCAAACGAAAACATGTGTTTTGGGACCAAATAGGACATTTTTTCACTATTTGAGGCCTTAAAAAAGGGGGGGGGGGTCGAAAGTGCGTTGTTTCGCGCATATATGACGTAAAGGGTTAAGGAACGATAGTGTATCTGCTCTTGTGCCCATCTGTTCCTCGAATGCACAGAGGAGCACCTGAGGTCTTCCTCCTTCAGTAAAGCTGGGAAAAATCCCAATTTGACTTTTACATTGTCAATGTGTCTTAAAACCTAATTTAAAACAATACAAAAGTAATTGAGATTAAAATGTTAATTTGTCAATATCTGCATTAACTGTATATTTTTGTACAAGAATTTGCATAATGTTTCTATTCTTGTTATTGATTTAGAATATTATCCTGTTCATAAATTTTGTCTTGAATAAATGTTTTTCTTATTTTTTTATTAATTGTAGAGCTGTTATGCTGAGAGATTCAAAGTCATTGGTAAAGAGGTTTTTAATTTTGACACAAGTATGTTGGTTTTTTTTACATGATTCTCATTGTTTTTTATGTTTAATTATTTATTTTTTGTCACCAAGTAATTTTTTTTTTCACACTTTTCTATTTTTTTGTCACCAAGCAACTTGACTATTTACACCAGACTTAATACTTTTTTTAATAAGGCAAAAAAAATACATTTGATTTATCATGCATAGAAGTCTATTTAATTTTTTTAAACCAGACTGTTTGTTTGTAATGCTAAGCTTCCTTATTATGACAATAAATCTGACTGATTTAATGTTTGTGATCAGGTGACATTAACAATATCTTGCTTTATATCTTATCTCAACCAAAAACAAAATCTTGATTATGTAACTGGATATGAATCACAGCTGTATAGTTTTCTTATTAATTTTCTCATCTCTGTACTTTCTAGAATTGCTCATGTGTTTTTAATTTTAATATCAGATCAGGAAATAAAATTGACCAATCAGATGCTTGTGTTTTGTTTTGTTTTTAATTCTTTTCCTGCGAGACACACAAAACCTTCTTAATCAAAAAGTTGTTAGTGATAAGTGACATAATAGTGGGGTAAACCCAATCATATCAATGACGCAAATAAAAGGTGAGTGTGGGAAAGATAAAACATCCACAATAGGTTGGCTAAACCTCTCCCATAGGTTGTCAAATCCCCTGCAATAGGTTGTCAAAACCACATCCATAAGTTGTCAAAACCCAATCCATAAGTTGTCAAAACCTGCAATAGGTTGTCAAAACCCCTGCAATATGTTGTCAAAACCCCTGCAATGGGTTGTCAAAACCCCTGCAATAGGTTGTCAAAACCCCTGCAATAGGTTGTCTAAGCCCCAGCAATAGGTAGTCAAACCCCATCAATACGTTGTCAAAACGCATACAATACGTTGTCAAAACCCCATCAATAGGTTGTCAAATCCCCTGCAATAGGCTGTCAAAACCCCTGCAAAAGGTTGTCAAAACCCCTGCAATAGGTTGTCAAAACCCCTGCAATAGATGGTCTTAGCCCCAGCAATAGGTAGTCAAACCCCATCAATACGTTGTCAAAAGGCATACAATAGGTTGTCAAATCCCCTGCAATAGGCTGTCAAAACCCAATCTATAAGTTGTCAAATCCCCTGCAATAGGTTGTCAAAACCCCATCCATAAGTTGTCAAAACCTGCAATAAGTTGTTAAAACCCCTGCAATAGATGGTCAAAATCACTGAAATAGGTGGTCAAAACCCCTGCAATAGGTGGCCTAAACCCCTGCAAAAGTTTGTCAAAAACCCTGCAATAGATGGTCAAAACCACTGAAATAGGTTGTTAAAACCACTGCAGTAGATGATCTAAACCCCAGCAATAGGTAGTCAAAAGGCCTGCAATAGGTGGTCTAAACCCCTGCAATAGGTGGTCAAAACCCCTGAAAAAGGTGGTCAAAACCCTTGCAATAAATGGTCAAAACTCCTGCAATAGGTGGTCAACATCCCTGCAATAGGTGGTCTAATCCCCTGCAACGGGTGGTGTAAAACCTTGCAACAGATGGTCAAAATCCCTGCAATAGGTGGTCAAAACCCCTGCAATAGGTGGTCTTAACCAGCTGAGTATGGACATACTAAGTCAAAACACCCTTAGAAAGTAAACAGGTAAAATTCCCTCAAAATATGATACATGTTTTTATTTGACTGACCTTTTTTGTTGTTTCTGTCTAACATTTCCCTCAATTTCTCCTGACTATTACATTAATTTACTCATATTTGCATATCTCTCTTAGATCTTTTGTCACAATTATGATTAGGAAAATAGGAAAGCAATGCATATCTAAACAATCAATTATCATAGTATTGCAAGCAATCCATAAGTCCCCTACCGGTTAGAACCCCAGCAACATTCTGATGGGCCATTTGCCATTCAATTTTAACAGTGAATGAATGACATGCATGAACTTAAATCTTTTGAGTTCTAAGTTTGTCTATATCACAGTAATATGTTAAGTTTCCATGCCTAGTAAGGAAATTATGTTTATACAACCTTGTCATATTATTACGATGCGGGATTTTAAAGTAAATCCTATAAGGAATGAAGAAGTTGGAGTGAAAATACCAGTTTCTCGAAAAAATCTAAGTTCAAGGGGGACATAATTCTGGAAATAGTCTTGCTAGAGTATTTAACCTTCTCAAAAATGTCGAATGATAATAAGAAACATATATATGAAGTTTGAAGAAGATACATTAGGAAATAAAGAAGTTATTTAAAAAAGACAACATTTTTTCCCCTAAAAAATCTAAGTTCAAGGGAGGTAATACTGATAATTTTGTGCTAGAGTTATAAACCTTGTCACAAATGATATGGTTGATGACCAGAAACTTAAATTTAAAGTTTGAAGAAAACACCTTAAGAAATAAAGAACATATAGTGAAAAAGCTGAAAAATTTAAATCAGAAATCTTGAAATTCAGGCTATTTGTTGCCATAGCAACCAGAATTTTCAACATAGGAAGAAAAGAAAAAGATGTGCATAATCTCCAGACTGCCATCAGTCTACCCATATTTCAAGTTTCATAAAAATATTTTCAGTACTTTTTGAGTTATCACTGGATCCAGTTTATGTGTTAAATTTGCCATATTTTCAGACTATTTGTTGCCATAGCAACCAGAATTTTCAACATAGGAAGAAAAAAAAAAAGACGTGTATAATCTCCATACTGCCATCTATCCATATATCAAGTTTCGTAAAAATATTTTCAGTACTTTTTACGTTATCGCGGGATCCAGTTTTGTGGACGGACGGACTGACGGACTGACAGACAGACAGACGGACAGACAGACAGACGGACGGAGGGTAAACCTAAAGTCCCCTCCGGTTAAACCGGTAGGGAACTAAAAACAAAACAATCGTATACAAATATAACCAACATACCATGTCCATGTTTCTCAAAAAAAAATCTAAGTTCAAGGGGGACATAATTCTGGAAATAGTCTTGCTAGAGTATTTAACCTTCTCAAAAATGTCGAGTGATAATAAGAAACATATACATGTATATGAAGTTTAAAGTAGATACATTAGGGAATAAAGAAGTTATTTAAAAAAGACAACATTTTTTTCCCCTAAAAATCTAAGTTCAAGGGAGGTAATACTGATAATTTTGTGCTAGAGTTATAAACCTTGTCACATATGATGTGGTTGATGACCAGAAACTTAAATTTAAAGTTTGAAGTAAACACCTTAAGAAATAAAGAACATATAGTGAAAAAGCTGAAAAATTTAAATCAGAAATCTTGAAATTCAGGCTATTTGTTGCCATAGCAACCAGAATTTTCAACATAGGAAGAAGAAAAAAAGACGTGCATAATCTCCATACTGCCATCTATCCATATATCAAGTTTCATAAAAATATTTTCAGTACTTTTTACGTAATCGCGGGATCCAGTTTTGTGGACGGACGGACTGACTGACAGACAGACAGACAGACAGACAGACGGACAGACAGACAGACAGACAGAGGGACAGACGGACGGAGGGTAAACCTTAAGTCCCCTCCGGTTAAACCGGTAAAAGAGCCTCTGTGGTTCTTTGTTTAAAAGATGTTAACTTTGAATATCTGTATGGAAGTACTGTGACAATGGGGGTCTTAAAATTGAAAGTCAGACTGCGTGGATGCGCAGGCTGTTCTGGATCCATGCTGGTCGCAAACACACTATGTTGGTTTTGTAGTGACGCGGCTCATATGATGTAAAACTCAGTTTAGTCTTGAAGTTTATGTATAATCAACTAATCTCAAGGTTGCAATTGTAAAAATACAAATTGGTTTTAGTTTAAACATATGAACAGTCTCATACATGTAACCTGGGACATGGTACTCCTCCTTTGTACTAAGGGAGATAATCCCAGTAGTGTATTTGGAAGCACCCTTACAGAGTTGCAATTCCTTATTCGCTTTACGAGTTTTCTATCACATTCAGTACGCATGTCTTTGTATGACTAAAGCTACAAATATATAAAAGGTAAAGTGTATGTTTATTATTGTGTCACACCTACTGAAAGGGACAGCCAATTTGACTTATGAGACACATTCAAGTTGATATTTTTACACGTTTACCTCCCGAGTCCTTTCCTTAAATGCCTGGGATATAGGCAGGAAGGCAATCGGTAACCATTCTTTAATTAGCTGGCGGCTCACCAACCGGCCATATCCTTTCGCTGCGTGTGGGGCTCGAACATTCGACCTCCGGCTGGAACATTTGACCTCCCGTTCTCGAGGCGGATGCCGTAACTACTAGGCCACGCGCATTACAGTGAAAAATACAGACAGATGTACCTGAAACTTACAAGTATTGCTAGACGTGCCTGTTCTAGTCGAGTTGTAGAAGAATGTCGACGAAGTCCAAGTCGGTGCAAAACTCTATTTAGTTGACGTATACTAAAATGCAAATAAGCACAAATTTTTTTTAAAAAATATCTAGGAAAATAAATCTTCATGTTAACAAATATGTAAATATTCATTACCTACTTCACCTATAATAATAATAATAATAATAACAATAATAATAATAATAATAATAATAATAATAATAATAATAATAATAATGATAATAATAATAATAATAATAATAATAATAATGATAATGATTACCACATTTTTATAGCGCCCTTCTCAAAAATAAATGTTCGCTTTACAATTGAATTATATACATTTACAATGACTTTAAAAACAAACAAAAAGTATTAAAAATAATAACACACATATATGTATACATTTACAAAATATAAAATACCCCATGATTAATCTAAAAGTCTAAAACTCAGAGTCGATCATACAAGAAAGTAAAAAAAGAAAAAGAATGTACTTGAAGAATAATCTAAGACTTGATAATAAAATATAGAGAAAGGTTAAAAACTGTTGTCTATATTTTGTTTTATTTGGAAGAAAATATGACTATTTTCATTTTTATTTCTAAAAAGCATAACGGAGATAGGATTTTTAAAGTAATACTTTGACTTGCCAAAAACGTCATAAAATCGTTCATGACAAAGTAAAATTGTGAACATAATTGTGATGTTACCATACCTTATAATTATGTTGTAGCGCTCCTGGAGAATAGTTACTATTTCGGGGTAGGTGTATCCCGAAAAAATACATTCCCTGATAATATTTTCCCCTAGCATACGTTAAGTAAAATAAACAAATGAACAAGATAAAAGTAAAAATAAGGACATAATTGAGCCGCGTCATGACAAAACTAACATAATGGGTTTGCGACAGAATGGATCCAGACCATCGCTATCAGTTTCTCTACTTGTAATAGGATGCGGATGCGTAGGCTGGTCCGGATCCATGCTGATACTGTCATTGCTATTATTCTCCATTTTCTTCTATATATGTAGCATATGTGTTTTGTGCACATATTTCATGCAAAATGTCGTCAAACTTGAAACAATTCGGCAGATGTGTGCCTACCGCAAGGCGAAACCCGAAACAATGTCATTGTCGTTACTTCGACTTTCGCGTTTCGGGGCGAAATCACGACAACTCGAAAATCTGCCGTATTTTCGTTATTTCGACCTTCGCGTTTCGAGGCGAAGACACGACAAACAAAGGGCGCGGACACGAAAGATTTCCCCCTGCCGACATGTTTCGTGTTTTCGTGTCTTCGCTCCGAAAGGCGAAAGTCGCAATAACGACAATTAGGTAAGTTTTCGAGGACTCGACTTTTGGGGCGAGGACACGAAAACACGAAATGGCAGAAATCAGCCACCATAATTTATGCATCATGCCTTATATAAAGTCTCGATGAAATCGAACCTGAAACATTTTCAATTTCGCAGTATACAGAAACATTTTACTTCGAGTAAACATTTCACAGATTGTCACAGAAACGTTGCATTCAAGTTGGTGCCGATGAAATATATATAATTGTGTGTGAAACTCAGCAGGACTTTTCACAATTATCATGGTACACTGTTCTTGTTTTGTTTCTTCAGAACAACATGCACACAATACAAATATATGAAAATCAAAAACATATTTGTAAAGCAAGAATATTCTTTAAGAGCCTTTTACTTGACTAACTTCGACCATTCAGTAGTTTAGGACGTAAAAAATATGTTATTCATTCAACCAATCGATTTGTAGTTTTGTACTAGCTATGGGTTGAAGGACGGACTTGCAACATGTGTACATATTTACAGACATTGCATGGCTTGATGGAGAAAAAATCTAGAATGAGGAAATATGATTTTATGGAAAAGGAAGGCGTTTTTATACACTGGATTTACAGTTTTTGCGGTAATTTTCGTCATGAGTAAGTTGAAAGTACCGGTATATTTACTTGCACTTTATCTACGGAAAACTTGGATTGACATTTAAGTTACGACCAAGTTAGGTCTGAATTACTTTGGATTTTTTCATGTGAGGAAACTATCAAACTATTACTAAACGTGGGAGGTTTTTCCGCAGGTGCACGCTGTTGCCTGAAAAAAAAATGCACGGGGAGGGGGCCATTAATCTTCCTCCACAAGTATGACTAGAAAATTGTCAATGACCTTAGTAATTTCAGCATTACTTAAAACCCAACAAAAAAGTACATGTTTTTGGTTTTTATTACTTATTTGATAAATTGAAAACCTGATTGAATATTGGAATAAAGCATGATATGCAGGATAAACACATATTCTTATTGTGGCGGGCTTAGAAATCCTTTGAAGGACATTTTAGTACGTATTTCTTGTTATAGGTTTGTTATTACTTAATTGCTAATACTTGTTTGTTACGTGCTGTTTGTTTCTCAGGATTTACTAGGTATAAAGGATAATGTCCTTCCACGGCTTCCGTAGATCGTTATAAATAAGAAATAATAATAATAATAATAATAATAATAATAATAATAATAATAATTATTATTATTATTATTATTATTATTATTATTATATTATAATTATTATTATAATAATAATAATAATAATACTGATGCTGATTATGATGATAAATGATAATGATGATGATGATAAATGATAATGATGATGATAATGATGATGATTGAAATGATGTTGTTGTTGTTGTTGTTGATGATGATGATGATGATGATGATGATGATGATGATGATGATGATAATAATGTTGTTAATAATAATAATAATAATAATAATAATAATGATAATAATGATGATGATAATAATAATAATGATGATGGTAATAATGATGATAATAATAATGATGATGAAAGGCTGCTTTTTACACATTGTACAGTGATAGTTAACGAAGTTAATTTTCTGTTATTTCGCTTAATGCTTAAAAATTTCAAAATTCTGCCTGCTTGCTTTTCTTTTTTATTTAAACAAATAGTTATGCTAACGTACTTTATAAATTTCTATAAACTTAAATCCAGAAAAAAGCCTAAAATCAGACTATACTTACTAAGTTTAGAATGATTAGAGAAATCAAAGCGCTGAGAGTACTGTCAAAGGCGAAACAGAAAAAAATGTGAACATATTTGTTATTTGTTATCTTTTCTTTGGTTTGCATTTAGAGCAAATCATTTTTTTCTTCGGTATATCAGAACACGTAATTATAAGAAAAAAAAACATGGTCATAATGTACATCCACAAAATGCTGTCACATATTCTCTTTAATTGTTCCCCATTTTTAAGTGGAAACCAGATATATTCATTTTCTTCTGTAAAGACGTAACACCACACATGAATTATGAATAAAATAATAACATGTTCTTGATATATTATCCACTTTAATCTTTTACCGACTTAAAAGACTTGAAAATTTCAGCAGCAAATATGTGATACACCGTCCGCGCTCAGGTTTTGACTATAAGAATCTTTGGCTTTTAATAGTTTTGACTGAAATTGGTGAAATATTGCAAGTAAATGAAATAAAAATGAGAGAAACAGATCGAATTGAAGCATATGCTTACAAATAAAGCACATACTAAGAAAACTAGCTCGAGCGTTTTGATAAGTGATTAGATTTTTTAAATACCACGCTGTGTAAATTCATTCTACCGCAGTATGCTTACAATGCCGTGCCAGCAAACACATGCCGCCATCATTGCGCGTATTCATTATTTATTATACAAAGGAAAAATTCTGTCGTTAATGATTGAACTGTACGCCATCTGCTTACAAAATGTCACATAATATGACGTAACAAAAGATAGTCGAACTTTGAAATAGCCAAACAACAATAACACCAATAATGATAATAATAATAAAAATGATAAAAGTCGACGTGCGCCGGTTTTTTTTCTGTTTTACTATTGCACTTGAAGTAAACGAATTTTATTATATACGTGTTTAAAATTCACCTTTTTATATAATTTCACAATATTTTACATGTATATTGTCTTTTTTATTAATGTCTATTTAAAGTATATCGGTCTTTATTTTCAGACAAGCTGACTTTATCATTACATAATTATTCCACTGGACCGGTTCAAGTCCTGATCCTTACTTATATGAGATCGGGTTCGAGTCTTACTGGAGACATACTACAGCATAAACCTGGGTCATTTTACGTATTTGAACCTTTAAGATCGTTTTGTCCGTCTAATTGTTCTTCCGTCATCTTGAAAAATCTAGTATACGCAAATGGAACGGAAAGGTAAGTTGCTATTACGTATTTCAACACTGCTATTCATATAAATATTAAAATGGCTGAACAATTGACCTGAACGATATGTTACTTATTGAAATAATAAGCAATAATCATGTTGCACAAACTTAGGCATTACCACACTAAAAATCTTGTTAATAAATGAACGTGTCCATCTGTCAATCTTGACAAAACAATTAAAACAATTTAGGAGAAATTCAAAATGTGTACTGTCTTGATAGCGAAGAGTGCAGACCATTATCATAAAGCTTGGTCTGCATTGTTCCCAAGGATTCTACAGGTTTAGAACATGATATTGTGGTGTATTTTATGGTACTGAAAAATTAGAATTTGTCGGAAACTTTTAATTATTTAAATGTTACCGTTTTTCTAGAACTTGTAACTCAAGCTGTAAAACATAATTAAAATATAATGTCGTATTTAATTTACATGCTTTTGTGTCTCTGCTCAATAAACTCTTGAAATATTGATAATATTAACCTGTAAATATCTAATATAAAGAGTTGAAAAACATGACAGAATATCAAACTTATGTCTATGCTCTGAAATCGAAGAGGAATATCATTTTATTTTTATATTTAACGTTCATAATGATTTAAGCATTCGGTTTATTATATTAAGCAACTTTGCCATATATCTAGTGTTATAACTATTGCGAAAAAGATTTATTTGATTTGAGCTTATCCTACATATTGTTTAGACCAAACACATAATATTGATGCTATCCCTAACTCGTGAATGAAAGCTGTTTCCCCTGGCCTAAAATAGGTATATTTTCAACGAATTAATACTATATTTTCCCCTGAAATGCGCTGTACACATTCTTCTCGTAACAGCAGCTGACTTATATAAGCTAGAAGGTAAATTCAATTGACTAAAACAACAGAAAGCTAAAATGTATGGGCAAATTCCATTCTAATTTGTTGGAATTTGATTTCAGATTTCCCCCGTTTCTGATTAATCGTGCTTAATTTCCCCCTACAGAAAGCCACATGAAGATTGCAGAAAATATCACTGCTAACCATGACAGAATATTTTCAATGCATAAATTTTCATATATAACGAAATACATATCAATGTTTAAGTTAAATAACTTTTTCTTCTTCTCTTTCTCCTTCGTCTTCAACATAAATTACATTTATCGTCGCTAGCATTCAAAATTGAGATGAATACAATTGTTGAATACCATTGCCGAATATTATTATTGAATACCATTTAATATACATGTAATAACATAAATAAGAACGTTCTGTCTTACAGGCGGACACCTATTTCGTTTAATGAAGAGTCGTATTCTATTTTACGGAATTGGTTTAGCTGTAAAATAACACAACTTCCGGCTAATGGACTTCTGGACGTATTCCTAGGTATGACGTCATCAATTTATATTATTTCGATACAATCCGTGTTTAAATTATCATTTTATCAATGAAACGTTTCGTTATTCTAATTTGATTTCATTAATATAGACTTTTATGAAACATTATGTTACTCTAGATGAGATTTCATTTATGTAAACTCACTATTTGATACATTACGATACTCTAGGTATGATTTAATTAATGTAAACAATTATGAAACATTTTGTTATTCTAGGTATGATCAACTTAATGTAAACTCGCTTTTTGATACATTTCTTTATTCTAGGTATGATTTAATTAATGTAAACTCAATATTTGATATATTTCGTTATTCTAGGTATGATTAAATTGATATAAACTATTATGAAACATTTCGTTATTCTGGGATTGATTTAATTAATATAGACTATTTTGAAACATTATGTTATTCTAGGTATGATTAAAATAATGTAAACTCAATACATTTCGTTATTCTATATATGATTCAATTTATGGAAACTAAAATGATAAATTTCGGTTTTTTCTAGGTATGATTTAAATATTCAGGGTATTTTGATATATTTTCTTTTTTATTTGTTTAATGTAGATATTATGAAACATTATGTTCATACTGTTAGTGTAATGTAGCTAAGCTTACATGGATTTTTGAATATGCGTATGATTTCATTATTTAAGAATGAATTGATGTAGACTATAAAGAAAACTATTTAGGCATGATTTCTTTGTACTATGGTGTATAATCTAGACTGTAGTGCAACATGTTGTGTTTTATATATCATGTCAGAGTATGGTTTAGATATAGTACCATTATTGTATATAATTTTGTTTGTAATTTATTATTAGATATGATTATAACAACATGTTAAGTGTCTATAAAATGAAGATATGATTCTGTTTTGTTTTGTAAGTTTCTCAAATAACATATTAAATGTTACGTTTTTGTGGCTACTTAAAACTTCCATTAAAACAAGTGCTACTGTTCGATACCAGCCTATATTTGTAATTCTGAGACATGTTTATTGTAATAATGGAATACGTTATGTTTTAGAATTAATTTAAGTAATATATAGACTTTTGTGGATGATTTCTATATATATTATTTTATGAATTAGCGTGTTAGTGATGTATTATAGCATTGGCTTATTTTATGGCAATACATCAAACTAGTTTGTTATATTTTAATCATGGCTTAGCTTTCATGTAAATTTGTTTTTAACAAAAAATATGGAAACAGGCCAATGCCATGCACATATTGTGATCCTATTATTTCTAATAAGGCAAGGTTTTCTGTATAAAATATAAATTGGAAATTATGTCTCAAAAACAAAACAACACATTAAGATTAAATTGAAACTGTATTTTTCTAGAAACTTTTATCACAGAATATAAAGCTCCATGATTTTACATTTAATTACCTGTATTGTTTCTAATATTTAGAAAGAGGTACGAAAACAAAGATGTTCTATCCTTGTTACTTAAAAGCAACATTAAAGACGATGGATCATTCAATTGCAATGGAAAAATGTGCAGGAAAGCTTGCTGAAATATGTGAAGAGTCCTCAGTTCGAATTATCAAGACTATAAGAGCACAGTTTAAGTTTGTGAAACATCTGCTCGATGTGCTTCCGAATTTAAAAATTATTCATTTGGTACGAGATCCGCGTGCAACGTTATTTTCACAATCTCATTTTCATATGTGCCTAGTGGCAAACGGGGGACGACAACGGTGCACAAATAATCTTTGTGGAAGATTGGAGAAGGATGTTCTTGAGGTCGATAGTGTAGATATATCTCACCCTGGTAGGGTAATGACGATAAAATACGAAGACCTGGCTCAACGTCCAATAGAAACGTCGCAAATCATGTACGATTTTATTGGCGTCCCGATGTCTCCAAAAACGAAACGATTCATTTATTATAAAACAATGGCGGGAATTGACAACGATTGTTCGATTTGTTCAACTCGCCGGAACTCCTCGGCTCATATTGCTTTCTGGAAACGACAGATAGACCGGGAGTTTTTAGATATAATAAATTCTAGATGTGATTACATATTAAAACGTTTTCAATATGACAAATTTCCAAAATGACTACGTTTTAGTATCATTTTGTAGTGTAATCAAAATTCTATACCATTGGTATAAGAGTCATTAAAATGATATTATAATTAATATTTGAGTGTTGTTTGTTATTGTGATGAGATACAAGATCCAACAGTACATATCTGCATTTGGCAAAAAAACAACAAAAAAAAAAACACCAATCTACTTTAAATACTTAGCAACGGTAGTATAGTTACTTACATATTAGACTAGAAACTGTTCTATTGGTTGATTAGTTTTAGTTATAATTCGATACCGTAAAATCTTGATACTTTATTAATGCACATAATCTAAATCAGTCTGTAATAGGTCAACTTACAAGCCCTTGACCTGACAAATCTATTTTGTACGTACATATACTTATAATAAAGAAAGTTAATTTAAGAGACATACAGAATGTTGAAAATATAACTATTATAATGACTCTTAACTTATTTACATGCGTAATAACTGTGAACCATAAATATAGATATTTGTTTTTTAAGTTTCCTCCCTTAGTCGAAAGAAGGCAGTTTTGCAGTTGCATTTACGTACAATTCTAACATGGTCACATTAACCCTATACCTCATATAGACGTGCTATGACGGCTTTTCGACCACCCCCTTTTGAGTCCTTAAACAGAGAAAAATACCCTATTTAGGCCCAAACATTGTTTTTCGTTTGAGAAATGTTGATAAAAAAAGTCATCACTTTTTCGGCGCCGCCTCCTATCAAAAAGGTACTTCCAGGGGGTTGGCAGAAGTGAGATGTGCCCCCTTTTGTTTCGTGGGTTTGAAGGGGGCGGCAGTCCCCTTCATCGCCAAGAAAATTTTGGACATGTGACAGGCTAAAAATGACCTCAGGTCAATTGTAAGGTAAAGTGTAACCAACGCTGAAAAGCCTTTTACTCTATCTTAATTCATTGAGAAGTTACAGCACTTTGAGGAAAAAACAATGCAAAATATTTATTTTTGGCAAATTTGAGACGTCCCCCCGTTGCCATGGTAACAGGAAATTAAAGACTGAACAAGTTGTTACAGAGAGTATGGTTTCATCAGTATTGAAGCATTTTTCATGGTTTCATAGCAGTTTGAACTTGTAACAGGAGGCTTTTCAATGAAAACGGCCATTTTTCACAATATGCTCATGAGGTAAAGGTTAATCATTTTTCAAAGTTATCAATTATATCTCATGGTTTGAATACTATATAATTAACCATAATGGACTGAAACCAAATACAAGGAGGGGCACCGAAGATTTTCCTCAACTTGTAAAACTGTTAGTGCGGCGGAAAAAATAAAACAAAAGAAAACAATAACAACAATATAAAGAACTACATAATTTACGAAGAACTCTCAAAGCAATAACTTTGTAACTTAAATAATACAGATAAAAATATAAACATCTTTCCATTATATTACTAAGTATTTAATTGTAATTGTTACAAAAGTGCCAAGATAAACATAACAATTTGATAAATTAAATAAACGGATAAAAAAGCACGAAAAAATAAATAACTGGATAAATAATAAAAAATAACAAAAAAGAAACAACAACAAACAAACAACAACAAAAACAAAGCAAAAAACAAACAAACAAACCCGAATCTGGGACAGGAAGTTGAATACGAAATTAAGATTTATAGGTTTACTTGGAGACAACTAAAATGTAACATCTCTAACGCCCTTAGCACCGACTATTGTGCCATTTATTCTTATATAGAAACTTGTCATTTTTTTACAAATATAGACAAAATATACTTCTTGTATAATCGTACCCTTCACCGCTATCGTAGAAAAGTCTCCATGTAATGTTTTAGTAAATCACATGTAATCAACTACGCAAAAACATTTTAAGACTTTTCACTCCTATATAACCTATATTATTATTGTTGTTGTATATCATACCATATGAGTTTTTAAGATAAAATAAATTTGTCACCAGTTATTTCTCCTAGCTAACAAATTTATTGAATTAAAAGGATATCAATCAACGGAGATTGGATTTGTTCACACTAGATAACTGTGTCAAGAATGTAACAATATATCTAGTGGGTGTATCCAATAATCCTATCAAAGAAACAAAATGATACAATCTTGTAATAAAGACAACAAAGACATATTAAGTCAGAAAGAGAAACATCACAAAATCGGTGACAAGTTTAGAGGTAAGATATGCACTTTTGCCATCTGGCACCAATCATACTTTTCTACTATACCATTACAAGATCTTGGTCAGATTGTTAAATGCTTGTTTAAGGGTATATTTCATTCCATCATATTCGATTAGTAACAAGCGGCAAAACTTTCTAAAAAAAACTGTATCAAATAGCATTACGAAATTGGGTAACTCAGGAAACTTAGCAAGGTTACAAAACAGTCCGACTGAAGAAGAAAAAAATCATATGAAATAATAACAATCTTGATAGTGATTTAACTGCTTAAGTTAAAACATATTGCAAAAACGAAGCAAGGAGAAGCTTGACTTGTCTGCATTTGTTTAGAAAATATGTATGTCAAGGCATAAGTTCATGTTCAAATATCAATCAAAGGACACGTTTCAGACAAAAATCTATATTTTATTGAGAGCCGATCTAATTTTTAATCTAATACATTCCTTATAGTCATGATTTACAGTTCAATTACGAGTGGGCCAAAGGAGAATTGTCTGACATGAAAACGAGACATATTAGAACGCTCAAACATACCATCAGGCAAAGGACTAGACGATTACTTCTATGACAATATGTATTGTGACAGAATGGGGATTTCAGTACAGTTATACTACACACTTTAAATAAGTTGAATTCAAAACTTATTATAATACATGTCATTGTTTTATTTCTGATTTGTCTATCAGAATAATTTTGACGAAAAACTTATTCAGTCTTGAACTACATTCATTATTTCTGTCAAACGCTTTTTGTTATTCAAAAATGTTTTCATGTGATAATATTATGATCGAAGGAAGTATAAAATAAAGTTTTGTTAAAAAATTAAAGTAATGAAATACTGTGTACATCCTGAAATTAGTTAAATGTACGTACTCGGTATGTCCTAATTTGTTCTTGATTGCCTTCATCCACGTTATGATATTATGCATGGTAAAAAAAGAAAGAATAAAGTTGAAAAAACAATTATATTTTATTGCGTTTTAAACTTTAATAATTTTATTTTTTCATAACACAGGATTTATTCCCACTGTTTGCGACAGACTCAGATATACGACCCGTTTTCAAATCATTTTCACCGACAATGCATTTTCTTATGCTTTACTAATAAGTATCTGAGTTAAATATCTATACTAAAAAGGTTTCTTAATTATATAAAATAACAAATTATATCGTCATCACTAGAAGTTTGGAAATGAACACATGCTACATTGCTATTGGTTAACATTCAGCCTTGAATTTACCCATAACATGATCAGCTGTCTCCATCAGCACAGCCAATTTCTATAAACGCATTTAAAAACCTGTGAACAGTTCAGAATGTGGCCTTTTTCGACCAAACTTCAAACCAGTCAGACGTATCACAGGCGTATTAATACTGAAATAACTGTTAATAAACAGTACATTTAAGTCTACTTATTATGAATACAACTCTATTAGTTAGATGTGTTGCGATATATTAGTATGTTACAGAATAATACATTATACATGTATTATGGTTATAGTGGGCAAATGTGATTTCCAGCGAGTACTTCTTATCAGCATAAGAAACTGTTTTCCATTTAAGACACGTGTTTGAAATTGAAATGTTCTCTCCAGTGATTTCCGGTACTTTCGGTGCTTTGATTAGCATTTTGTCACATTAAATGTTCAATGACTATTCAATTTGTGTGGGCTGAATGTTTAGCAACTGTTCCGGCATGATTTCCTATGGATATATCCGCTAGTATGTTAATCCTTATTCAAACAGGTGTTTCCTGACTTAATCTCTTTATGGCTTTTAGGAGTTAATCTCGTTTCAAGTTTACAAAGAAATATCGATCTACATTGAAGATCGATTTCCAGCATCTCGTCTAAACTATTTAACTGTAGCTTATTATCGAAAAAAGAAAGATCACCTAAAAACAAATTGAAAAGCATTAACACAAGTACTGTTTGAAGATTCAAACTCAAAATGCTTAGAATAATAAAGTCACCGAGTATAACGCCACATTTATCATTCATTTTTGTTGTTGTTGTTTTTTTGTATCATAAAGATAATTTTGGTTGATTTTTTTGCATATTTTTAAATGGCAATTCCATCCATGGGAAGTGAAGTTGTTGTTTGTAGTAACAAAAAGAAAAAAAGGCCAGTCTCCAAAGTGGTAGACGCCATTCTAATATCATTTATTTTCGTTCTTTTGAATCTTGTATGGTCGTGACAGACTTTAAGACTGTTATAAAAAATGGTCATTACAGGCGTTGTTTGAATTAAAGACAAAAAAAAACCATAAAAAATAAACAAACAAACAAATATCTTACAATCACTAATCTAAATAATAATACACTACCGAGAGAGTAGGGAATTAACAATTTGGAGAATTGAAAATATAATTGAAATGGAAAATTGAAAACGAAATTGAAAATTTAAATTTAAAATTGAAATTTGTTCTTTGTCAGAACTGCATGGCAGAAGATTTCTTGCCGATCATTGTACAGAAACGAGCCATAAATAATCCCAGATCTTTCTTTGACAGTCGGGTCCATAGGTAGAGGAAGTGTGTATCGCGCAAAGATGAATACTTTAAAAATATCATTTTAGGTATGTCAGACTGACGCAAACTTAAAAAAAAAATGAAATCGCAATACAATGTATCAAAATTTGTAGTATTTTAAGTCTTGTAAAAAAAGTTATTGATATTTAGATACTATTTAATTGTGTGTATGTATCGCAACTGTATCTAAATATTTTAATTTTTTTTGTTTTTTCGGTATTAGAATGAAAATATAGTGCTAAAATCTTGTTATGTTTTAAAGAAAAATAGGGATTGAATCATGAGACGTAATCATATGAATTATGAAATAACAATTTATTCTTAAAGCAAATAAAACACAATGATGTTAGGTAAAGAATCTATTTCTTTTTAGATATTTA